ACCGCGTCGTTTTTTGGCTCAAAAGTGCCAGCTATACTCTAGGGTGATAGAACTTCCAACCTGTCTATCGATGGCCTGTAGAACCCCCTTCTAACTACCCACGTTAGGAGCGTGGTCTGGAAGAGCTTTACTGTTGCGGGGTACGTGTTCGTACGTTGATATGCATTGACTGTCACTGTCACTGGGGTTTGTTTCTTGAACAATCTACATGTCACCATACATGTATTTCTATGGCCAAAGGATGTCGCAAACCCCGAAACACTGCACCGCACCCCACATACACCCGCAGCCTGCCCCGGGCCTCCACGAAATCAAGATGTTCAAGTTCGCGGGTGTTCAAGTTCACATGGACATCATACCATAGTGGATGTAACAAACTTCGCAGAGAGTGAAGGGCTGGTGGAGAAGGCGTAAAAGAGGGGTTTGTGGAAGCCGCGGTGGGGTGGTGAGGGCCCGGGGAGGTGACAGTGGACCCGGAACTGTCACTCCAAGATCGTGTGCCCTGCAGGTCACCAGGCTCCTGTTCCTTTCGCAGTTGGCTGTCACTCTACCTGTGTACCTTGCCAAAATACATGCCACTGCAAACTGTTGTACTATCCTCAAAGCCCCGCTACAGTATACTCACAGGAAGTTCTCAACTGAGTCCACCCCTTCCACGCCCAGAATACATGCTCCCTAAGCAATTGTTCGTCTCGTGTGATTTGACCGCATCTTCACTCTTGCAATCTCCAAAATTGCAAGTATTGTGCTTGGATCACTAGAAGTAGGGATCATCTTCTTTCAACGCGCACAGCCGCTGGCTTGGCGCGCCCAAGATCTCTGTAAATCACGTCGCGTCAGTTAAAGTTTATACTTCGATAAACCCACCACCGCTCCCCCCCTCCCCCCAACAAACCCACCCCCAACTCTTTCGTTTCGCCGGCGACAAACACGCGCCTTTAGCTGCTCCCGCCATGGCCTCTGAAGATTTGAATTTGTTCTCCAATCATCCCAATCACGACACGAATCCCCGCCCTCCCAAGCGCCGAAGACGGGAGTTGGTTCCGCAGACACCGAAAGGTGAGCATGCGGCAGATGTGTTGCCGGAGGAGGTGGTTTCGCAAGTCTTGAATCGCAGTATCGCGATGATCCTCCAGAGCGCTGGATTCTCTGGCACCAACGCCGCTGTTCAGGAGAGACTGCGGAAACACGCCGAAGACTGTGAGCTTTCATTGTTGCTGCAACACTGATCTGGTTCTGACTTTCTCCAGATTACACCAATATGTTGCAAACGATAGCTCTTTTCGCCTACGCGCAACGCCGAACGAAGCCCAACGTTCTAGATTTTGAAGCGATGCTCCAGCACAGCCACATCGATTTGGCAAGCTTAGAAGATGAAATGCGACGAATGCCTAACAAGGCTCCTGCTATTTCACTCCCCCCACCGAGCGCCCCACCCCCGCCAGATCCAGATCTGTCCGAACTCCTAGGCCCCGAGCTTGATGGATCGCGGGATCTACGATGCCGTGTCTACGACCACCTACCGCCGTTTCCGAGTCGGCACACTTACCAAGACACCCCAGTATTTTCGGAGCGTCCCACGGACCCTCGTTTGATACGCGAAAAGGCAACAGCGGAAGCCAGGTTAGCCGAAGTTGCGCTGAGGAAGTTGCTCGCCGTTTCCGCGACACGGACGGACGCTGCACAATTCGGTGGTGCGCAACAAGGAAAAAAGCGGAAGCAGCGACATGAGGAATGGAGAAAGGCGTACGAAGGTCTGAATAAGGGTGGCTTCGGTCACGATTCAGACAGGGTCAACGGGCATCCACTGGCAGAAGTGGAGAGTTTGAGCAGCATCATGAACGATCCCGTCCCGAATGCTCCTAGCAAAGTGAAGGAAAATGACGAGTACTTGGAAGTTGTTGTCAATTCGGACAGCCAGTTCTGGAGGAAGGGAAAGAGTAACGCCAAACGCGTTCGCACTACCTAATTATTGCATCAATTGATATATGTTTACTTATGGCGCCACAATTGCTGATGGGATACCGTATTATCTCGGTCGTGAGGCAAGAACTCTGTCACGGAAGTATGCTATGGTAGCAATGGACCGCACGCTCGGGGTGGAGGGTGCGCTAGAGCGGCTCTTGGTAATCGAGACCGCAAAAAGTAGAACCTTAAACAGCGCGCGGTGGTAATACGGTCCCGGCGACCTCGTGTGGCCTGTTATTGGAACGGCTGTAACTTCAAAAGCGATCCCTATTTATGCCGGGTAATAAAACCGGTCTATGAGACAGTTCCTGCGCCGCCACACAACAGCCACATCGTATCGGATGTTTGTTCGGCGTTTTGAAGAACCTTCTTTCTAGAAGCCTTATCAATACAACAGTTTTCCTCCGCCTCCGAGATCCGGCACAAAGTCCGAGAAGCTTGCGGCGGTCTACAACGATTATTAATGAACTTTTACTGCTATAAGAAATCGCGAGTATGCTGCAGCAGAGAAGTACAAAAGATACTTATCATTTCTTTGCTTGGCCACCCTAGAAACTTCCAAAATGCCCGTAATCGATCGTTCAGACTCAAAGCTATTTACCCCGTTGACTATCGGAAATGGAGCCTTGCAGCTCTCTCACCGGTAGGCATCTTCTTTCACCCTTATTAGTGACCAAGGTACTGATTATGTGATGCATCAGAGTAGTCCATGCACCATTGACGAGATGTCGGGGTATTCCCGTCGGCTCCAGCGAGCCGTGCCGTGACTGGATGGCCGATGAGCTCCTCGCCGAATACTACACCCAGCGCGCAACCCCGGGCGGCTTGATTATCACGGAAGCCCTGGCAGTCAGTGTTGAGGTAAATCTGTTCCTATTCTTACTCCCTAAACACGGCTAAAATGGAGGACTTTCAGGCCGGAGCTACCCCCGGTATTCCTGGCATCTATCTTCCTGAACAGGCCGCGGGATGGAAAAAGGTGGTCGATGCGGTGCACGCGCAGGGTGCCTACATCTATGCGCAGATCTGGCACGGTGGACGCACCAGTGTATCACAGCTCATTGGTAAACCGGCTGTCTCCGCCTCAGCCGTTCCTATCACAGACGAGGTCTGCCCTGGAACTGGGTGCAAATTTGAAGACGATCCGCCTCGGGAGATGACGGTGGAAGATATCAAGAACACGGTTGCACAATTTGTAGTGTGTGCTAAGAATGCCATCGAGGCTGGTTTTGACGGCATTGAGTTGCACGGCGCAAACGGCTATTGTAGGTTTTCCCCCTGGTCACAGTTCCAGCTTTCTGGCTGGCACGGGCGCTGACGAAATGGCGGTAGTGCTTGATCAATTCCTCAACGACAACATCAATAAGCGCACTGACGACTACGGTGGCTCCCCCGAGAAGCGCTGCCGTTTCGTCCTTGAGTTGGTAGATGCAGTGGTCGCAGCTATCGGGCAGGAGAAGGTTGCGATTCGCCTGACTCCGTTCGGTCTCTTCAACCAGACGCGCGGTTCGCAGCGGCTCGAGACATGGGGCCATCTCTGCCGTGAAATCAAGCGTAAATACCAGCTGTCGTATGTCCACTTCATCGAGCCGCGGTATGAGCAGATCATAGCCCCTGAAGAGAAGGAGGGCTTCCTGACGAGCTGGGGTCTCAAGGACATCACTCTCGACTCGTTCCGTGAGATCATGGGAGACACGCCCTTCTTTTCTGCCGGTGGATGGAACCACACAAATTCTTGGGGTCTGATCGAGAGTGGAAAGTATGACGCCTTAGTGTACGGACGGTACTTTTTGGCGAACCCGGATTTTATCGACAGGTGAGATCAGACGAGGTGAGATTTGCACTGGAGGATTTGGCTGATGGGACATTCTAGGCTGCGCAAGGGGCTGCCGTTCAACAAGTACGATCGGAACAGATTCTACGGACCTTTCCCCGAAAGAGAGCCCGGATACATTGATTATCCCAGGTTCGAAAACCTAGACAGGTGGAATGGACAGGTGGTTTCATATTAGTTTGCTGGATTTCTCTCATACCTTTTGGTACGCATGATCTTCCAGAATACGATGAGATGTCCGGTGTGTGTGTGTTATGTATACTAGGAGAAAAAGTTTCGCCTAAACCCATGTTTTTTTTGACCACAAACGCCCCGAGAACATATAGGAGAATTTGGTTGAACTGAGCAAGAAGTTTTAGAGTTAATGTTGCGAGCCCCAAATCCAGAGTCGTTAGCGCTCTGCTTAACGGACGTCAGTGAACCCACCAGCCTCAGACCTCCCGGCTCCCCCTATTGAATGTCCTTTTCAGGAGGCGAAATTCCAGATAATTTCCAAACGCTTCCCTCCCTGGAGACCGGTTTTTTTAGAATCAAAGGAAGCTGCCCCGCGGGGCAGCTGGACACGGCCACCACGGGTGTAAAACGGTAAGCCCGGGTTGTCCATCTGGAGTTTGCGAGGTTGCGCACCGAAAGTAAGTAGAGGTTGAGTATGACGAAACTCGGGTGATATGTTGCGCGGTTCCCAGCATGTATGATGACGCAGCAACAGCAACGGCGGTGGCGCCTCGTTCAATATCTACTACTCCAAAGCCTCACGCTTTCCCCTCTTCGCTCTTGATACCTCGAGATCTCCAACATCCATCTGGTGAGGGGATGTGGAGTGGAGCGAACAGACTACCATGCTAGTCCTAGCGGCAATAATTCCTGGTGGCAATGGGCGGCAGATGGGCGAGCGGTCAAGCGAGGCGTTGTTGAGTACCAGCGGCGAAGGCTATTGATGTCCGCCGCCCTCTGCTGCCCACCGCCCCGCATTGCCGCCACCCCTCCACCAATCGCGGCATGTCAACAACGGCTTTTAGTAGCCACATGCCTAGTATATATCACAACCTAGCGCTCAAATAGCTGATGGATTCCACGCCTCCTGCGCGGCTTGCTTGCTAGCAAAGTGAGGTGCTGCTATGCCAACCGCAACTTACTTTCGCTGCGCAAACTCACTATTTTTTTTACAGGTGATATAATAGACCACATCCCATGACTTGGTCGCATGGTGTAGTGGTTATCACATCTCGTTTACAGCCGTAAATTTGTTCCGAGAAGGTCGCAAGTTCAATCCTTGCTGCGATCAGTCGATTCTTTTGTGCTAGCTAGCAGTGGCTGGTTGATATTTTTGTTGAAATCAAGAGCTGAGCTCGGCTTCGCGTAATTCTTGCTGCATGCATGCAATTGAGGTGAATGGATGGAGACAGACGATGACTTCAGTGGCCTTTCATCCCCGGTTATCCATTGTCGTCCCAAAGACCAGGCCTGACAGCCAGCCATACGCAAGAGTGGAAAAATCTGGATTGCTTGTAAGTTGGTGAGTTGTCGATCTGTTCTTACAGACACTGAGCGTGCTATTCATAAGTCATCACTCGAAAACTGGGGGCATCAAGAAACCACTTTTAGGTTTTTTATCACCTGGAGGGTAAAGTAAGGCAATGGTCGCGCTAATAATTAGGCTTGCAAAGCATCTCTTTACGATGGGTGGATGGATGCAGACTTTTGTTAACGTCTCTGTATGTAGCACCCAAAGAGTGCGTTATAGTTATACAGATGGGTTGGCAAACTTGGCAATTTGCGGTTCATTTATCAACACTTAGAAGAAGCAGAAATAGGTGGTTCCCTGGTTGATTGACAGAGAGGGAAAAAAAAGCGAAATTCACGGATAGTGACTCGGACTCTCGAACCGGCGACAACGCATGATCCGGTACATACTCCAACTAATTGGGTATGTTTTGCTCTTGGTTTGAACGTCAGGCGTGTTGGAACCAGAACCATTGTAACCTTCCGGTACGCGCGGGTTGGGGTGCGGAGTCGGGTCGAGGTGAGTCCGAGCCTGGCGGCTGTCATGTCACTGCAAATAGGTGGCACGGCCAAAGAATAGGATTAGTCAGAGGGAAGGGGGGGGGGCGCGCGCGGCAACGGATCATAAACATCAGCTCCGTTGCCGAAAATGATGTGGCCTCAGAGTCACTCCGGTGGGAGCTGAAAGACATCGGGGGGTACAACGGAGATAAAAAAAAACACACACAACAACAACAACAACTCGGCGCCGAATATTATTATTATTATTTTGTTATTTTTTTATTATTTCCGCACTAGCTACCCCTTCCCCCCTTCCCCTTCTTCCTGATGTTTTTGTCGGTTGCCGCGCGAGCGCGGGAAAACTACCTACTAATAACTCAGGGTTGAAAAATTTCCGTTTATAGTCTGTGCGCGGCCGGTTGTTGGCCCCCACAAAACGTCCGAGCATATATGTAATGAAAAAAAAAAAAAAAAGATGGATAGATCAAACTCTCCCCTCTCCCCTCTAGCTCTCCCCTTCATATGTACTAAATAAGTAAGTAAACCTCAACGGCCCCTATCGGGTTCATCGGAGTTTGCAACTGCCTATTGCACTTACAAAAAAAAAAGCAAACGTGATATTGATAGTAAACGGTACAGTAGGCGAGAAACCCGTATACTTATGTAGAGTACTATAACTTTAGCGTGCTTTCGCACTCGCCTATGCTGTGCGTTAGCGAGGAGCCGTAAGAGGTAGGTATGGGTTTGTACCCCATCCTAGGTATAATTCCATCATGATCATCATCATCACCATCATCATCATCCTCAAGGGGCCTGAAACTACATACTAGCTTACCGGTTTTTTTTTTTTCCCCCACGCGGAATGATGAAGGCCATGCCATATGTGGATCACGCGCGCCAATTATTGCAAATGCGATGGGGGGCTGGGATGAAGGGGTTGGCTGCCGCTGCTGCTGCTGCGGATGGATGGTGGTACCTTGCAGATAGATGGATGGGCACTTGGCGAGCTCGGGCCGCTGGGTGAGAATTGCTGCTGGTGTCTGGCAGTCATCATACACTTCTCCACCCACGATAGACCACGAGGCGGCGCAGTCAGCTTCGCGTAGCAGGCATGGGGGTTACAAACCAGTGCCTCAGCATCGAGGAGAGGGCCGGCCGGGAACAATTCTCCCGCCTGGGTGGGTACGAGTGGTGCATGGTTACATGCAATCAACCGGGAAGTTCCACACGAAACGAAGCATAATGCAGGCATGCATGCATATGCAGCAGCATCTTCTTTTCCTGCCCGCTGATAGATACCCGCCCCCCATCCCACGGAACACGATCGTCATCGTCGTCGTCTTCGTCGTCGTCGTCGTCGTTCGTTTGTGGTAAGCTTGTATGTGTTCAAGGTATACGGCACTTGTACCACAAACGAACGTTTCATGTGGCAACTCACCTGTCCGTAGTTCATCTGCAATCGCCCAGAAGCTAAAGTAACCAAGACGGAACAGTGCATGCATGGTTGGCGGGGTACGTTGATATGAAGTATCAATGTACTCAACGTGGGTGACCAGATTACCAATGCTTGGAGTTGAGCCAGTGTCATGCAACAATGCGGAGTCCCGCTTCATGGCACACCTCCTGATCATCCGCAGGTGTGTGTGTGTGTGTGTGTGGAGTACCCGTCCGTAACTTCTCCCACGGCTTAGCCACATACCGCCCTGAATGCCGGATGGTTGGACGGATTGATCGCTGGCTGGACCCGCGGGCGGGGGCCGTCATCAATCAATCAACGCATGCTCTCGCTCGCTCGCTCGCTCGCTCTGCACGTCACACAGCCAAACGTGGGGCCCGCCATTGTAGATTAATCTGTAGATGCATACCCCCCCCCATCGAAGTACCTACATGCAAAAAGTATCTACCTGCTTCCCTTTCGTCCCGCCGCGCATAGTTACCTGCCAAGAAAAGGAACATGTCCAGATTGATTGCGCACCATGGGGCCGCCCAGACGGGTTTCTCGCGTCAAAAAAAGATCTGGTGCTCTACTCTGCGCAGAGTAGATACCCTACACTCTACAGCAGACCCACCGGTGGTTATATTGGACTTATGTGCATGGGCTGAGTGCATGCATACCATGGGTCGCACAGCGAGCTCGCGCGAGAACCGCACGAAATAGGGTACAGATACAGGAACGATGCGCATCTCTCACCTCATCATCCAGGGATGTGCGCTTGGTAGATTTCTCAGCCTTGTTTTGCAGTTGGCAGACCTAACCTCGGGCCCGTCGCCCGAGGGCATAATATTCATTCGTTTCACAGCCTTCGATTGAAACTAACTGCTAGTGGTCACAATCGTAAATTCTTGAGGTAGTGCTAGGTATGCAATTATTATAACGGTATGTAAACCCCCCCCAAAACAAACCCCCAAAACAAAAGAAAGGATAAAATAGCAAAAACGCAAGTACGCCCACCCTTTATTATACCATCCAGCCCACATGACATCATACAGAACATAATACAGATGAACGCCGGCTATGTTGTTACAGATACAGGAAATTAAACCCCCAGAAACGCAAGGAAAAACAGACGAGGAAAAAGCCCAATATTACATAGTAGTAGACCCTAATAATAATAATGATAGAAGCAGAAAAAGAGAAGTGCAAGAGCGCAAACTGCGCTTAATGTCGCTCGTATGGATCGGTATCCTGCAATCTTGCCGAGGAGATTTGCGAGTCGTAGTGTGAGTGGAGTCGAGATGCATTGCAATGTGCCCGCAGGCGTGAGGTGGAACGAAGAAATAGTTCAGCTCAGCCTGGGTGTGCGGCAGACAGGATGATCATGCTGCCGCGAAATAAGGGCGGTAAGATGCAATGCGTGGTGTTTCGAGAGCTCCGGAACCTCGTAGGATTTCGACCGATGAGAAGCGCGCAAAGACGGAGAAGATCCGTCCATCTCCTTATTTACCGCCAGCGGCGGTGGGAGTAGGAGGAAGGGGCCGGTTCGGCGGGGGCCCGGGTCGGGGAGGAAGAGTGTGTAATGAGACCACGGGGCCGTTGAAGTTGTAGCCCAAGCTGCTCAGGCAGTTAGGGTCGTTGGGGTTGTGGAGGGTCTGCGAAGGAGCCGGCATTGTGAACTGTATGGACAGCTTGCGTGCAACCTTGTAGTGGTGTTGTTGTTGTGGAGGTGATTGGATGGGGCGGGAGGGAGTCGTTTATATGTCCGCAAACTGGTTGTGGTGATCGCAGGGCTGATAGGGTAGTGTGGAGTGGTAGTGGGAGTTGTCTGATCGCTTTGTGCTGGTGAGATGTGCAATGGTAGTGCCGACTTGGGGGGGGGGTGAGGCGGAAGTATTTATGAACCAAGTCGACGATGGGTTCCGCGGGCGGCGCCAGGGCGAAAAAGAAAAGAATAGCATGATGAGACGAAAGGGGGTGGGCAAAGCGTGGAACCCCTGTTCGGACTGACGACATTCAAACTTCGTTCCGCCACGGTGATGTTTGTGTCGAGACCAGGGTCAGGGGTTGTCGAGGAAAGAGAGTGTGAGAGAGAGAGTGGGGAGATTGTGTTTCTTTAGCCCGATCTGCACCTCCGAATTCGGTTTGTTTTGCAGCGGATCGGACATCCGCCTGCTTAGCCAATTTCTGTGTAAGCGGAACAACAACAACAACAGCATCAGCATAGCCGTCCGCAGACGTTCTTCTGATATCTACCCCATGGTGGTTGTTGCAGGCGCTCTCATTCCTCTCTGCTTAACACCTGCCGCCAAACGGTGTCCAGACCCGGAAGCGCCGCTATGGATTCATCCCGCACGATGCCGTGTGTACTCTTGATCTGGTTCTGGTCCGTGGCTCCTCCGAAGGTGAAAAAAAAAAGAAAAAAGAAAAAAAAAAGAAAAGAAGAAAAAAAGAAAGGCACTCTAGGTCAAGCACTGGCAAGGGGTGGGCTGATTATTCCACCGTCACGAAACCAGGCTGCGCATGTAACTGTGGGCCGGCAAATTGCCAGGAACCACTTCTCAACAGATGCTTTGCATCCCGTCACTCGCGCTCCACTAAGCAATTCTATTATTGACCCGCACTGTTTCGACCAGGTCGACACTCAGAGTCTCAGACACGTATGTACTAGTCCCTAGGTACGCAATATTTATTTAGCAACCACAATATCAGTTAGCCGCGACTTCCACCATCACTGATAACGCCATGCACAATTGTTTCTCTTCATGGTCAGCTCCATCAGGCAGTCATTACGCTTTCTGCTACCACTTGCGATTGCTGGGTTTGTGACTATGAGACGAACGAGT